ATAAAAACATCATTTAAGACAGACAGCTAGATACCATAAACATACTATGTATACACAGGCCAGAGTTTGAGCTTGATTTGCTATATGATATAAAAACTAAACTGACGAAAAAAGGTCATTTATTCAAAATCATAAAATGCAAAAAATACATTATGCAAATAAAACATTTGACATAAAAGTTCATATTTAATATGAAATAATAATACATAATTAATACGAAATTACATCAACTAATATCATATCAATTGAATAAATGACAAAGAATAGCAAAGGTGGGGAGAAAAATCTGCCACAAATCCGCTCTTAAGCTGAAAGAGTGGATCCCAAATCCACTCTTAGGCTGAAAGAGTGGATCCCCCACCCGAGGACTCTGGCGACGTGAATACAATTTATATACAAGTTGCTTTCTTTAAAAGAAATGCAATCGTAAACCCAAATGCTTGTTTGGCATTAAATATTAGATAATTGGTTTTTTTCAAGATAAGGGTTAGTTTCTAGGCTTATGTTCAAATACAAATGTGAAGAAATTTAATCAATTAATGATTATTTGTGCTTAAAAAAAGAAATACAATACGTGAAACTTAATAGCTGTTTTTATTGGAATTTGAGATATGTTCATGGTTATTTGAACAATGGCTTGATATTGTTCATTATTAAGATCCTTACACCTGCTCTGCAAGGTTTTTGTGATGCTTAGGGTAGTAAGCATTGGCAATTTTAAGTTGTGTGCTTTGTGCTCTTAAAAGTTTTAGATGACAAAAAAAACTTATTAAAACCTTTAACTCGATTTGAAGATATTTTTTGAATGTCCCTTTTTATTTTGATGTTTTCTTATATTTTAAATTGTGGGTCATGAAAAAAGGCCCGCAAGTTTAATTGTAAATATATATAATTTGAATTGCACTGTATTCTCTTCACCTTGATGACCAAAACCAATTCATTCAGAAAGCTATTTACAGCCTGGACAAAACAGCTTACACCTTGTACTTATAAATAAACAAACTAAATTGAAAACAACAAAACAACTAACATAATCAAACCTGAAATTATCACTGAATACCCATTTCTAAACATTAGTTTGTTTAAAGGCCACATTTATGAACTGTTGTAAGGTGTTCTTTTTTATATTTGAACACGTTTTTTCATTAACTTTTAAAGGGTGTCTTTTACATGGTAAAGTTACACTACTGTCTTATGGTATGTATGTAAATTCTTTTAAAACAGGTGTATTCATAAGCACATGTCCCAAGTCAGAAGCATGTTGTTTAGTGGGGTTTTTTTTTTGGTGCAGTTCATATTGCTTTTGGTTTCTGGTTTGAAGATACATTAGATTTGATTTTTCCTGTTTGAATTGTTTTATAACAGTGTCTTTGGCCCCTAGTAGGAAGCAGTTCAATGTGATCCAAGCCTTTGTGTTGAAGGCTGTATTATAACCTATAATTGCTTACTTTGACTACACTGTGTCTTGATGGAGAGTTGTCTCATTGGTATTCCTACCACATTTAAAACAGATATTCCCTCTGTCATTTGACAAATCCATTAGAACAATCTAAATATTGAAATGGAACTGAAGTTGCCTTGAAGGTTTCTTATATTGACCTATCCTTTTTTCTCTCGCGCTGGATAGTTTTATACTAGTCATTTGGGGGCACTGTATATAGACTACTGATCACTGAGATGGCTTGTATTGAAAGAAAAAATGTAACCTGTAAAATTTTGCTTAATTGTACCACATTGTGCCTTGAAAGGGAGTTGTGTCATTGACATTCATACCACATCTTCTGATTTTTATATTGAAGCAGTTTTAAAATTCAGTATTTAGGAACGGGGGCGTTCAGTGCACTGCTATTGCGTATTATGCTTTAGCTTTTGTTTTTTTTAAACACATATAATGGTAATAACTTCAACGTATCGCCAGTATTACTTTATCTAAATGAATTTATCTATGAAACGAGAATTAAGTACTACTACTAGTACTAGTAGGGATTCTACTGTGCATTGCACTGAAACACGAAAATTATCAGAACAAAAAAAAATCTACTAGGGGAAAGAGAGTTCACAACAAAGTCCCAAACGAAAGTTTAAGAAGAAATAAGAAAGGCAAAATAGGTAACAATAAAGAAGGTAAAACTAATGGTTCTGGTGAGTCTTTAAACACTTGCAAGGAAGAACAAACTTCTAGTAATTTGTTTAAGTGCGATTATGATTAATTTCAGGAATATTTAAAAGTTATAGATAATGATTTGCATTTCAATATTGAAAATATATCCATAGCATTTGCACCTGACCATTCTTACTTTATCCCCAAAGGAAAAAAATACAAACAGTTAGACCAGCCATGTAAAACTATTGATTTGAAGAATTTTTTGAATGAAAAAGAAATAGGTGTACATACATACAACCCATACACCGTAGCTGTTATATAAGACATCAGAGAAAGTTTAGTTTACACAGTTATGAGAACAGTTGACCAGGACGGCTTTTAATTAATTAGATAACGCGTTTACATCGGTACATTATCACAATGGTCACACAAAGCTCTGCTACTTGTGGTCAACATGGTCAAAATTATAAAAATATAACATAAATAAAACAAACTTCAAAATTTCCTAAAAACTATTTTACATGCATAAAACCTAAGTATCAATTATCCTGTCGTCTTTAAAAATCTCCTTGCACTATTTTACATTTTCGTATTTAATATATTAGAACCGAAAATTCATCATCTGATCGTTTTCAAGAAATAATAATTATTTTTTTTTATTTTGTCGATCATTTTGAAGAGCCTTAATTATTACAGGTTAGATAATCTGTTCCCTGGCCCAGATAACTATAAATAGAAATTATTTTTTCTTATCTCTGCCTGCATCTGTCATCACTCGGTGTCTATAAATAGACATTTGATATCTTATCGCTGACCCTGTTAAGTCTGCTGAAATTGCATGCATGATTAATTTTAAGGTTATCGATCGTAATTAAAGCGGCACATTTATTTCGTTATTTCATTGCTTGAAGTATTATTTCTTTCATCTGCATGGTCAAATGTATTTTTTTTTTAAATATATTTTAGATTTAGATTTCAGTTTTAGAGTTTTTTTCATATTCAATATCTATTTATTCACATTCTAATAACGAAAAAGGATCCAGATATACCTTTAACAATCTGATTTGTTATTTTAATCAAGGAGGTTATATGACCTCCTTGTTTTTTAAAAAGGAAATAATGTTGCAATATTTAAACAAAGAAAATAACTGTATTTCAATTTACAATGTACTTTCATAATTAATTTAAACGTTATTTTTAATAAACGACATTTTTTTCGAAAAATCCTCGTTTTTTACATCCATTCAAGGACGTATAATAGATTATATACGTCCTTGGTCTATTCTAGACGTAAAATTTTAATAAAGTGCAAGAAAGACTTCTTTTTAATTTCAGTATAAAATCAAAGTACTGAAGTACTGAACATCGGATGACCACAAGTTCTTGAGGATGGTCAAAAGCACTTGTCTCAGAAAAAAACAACATATCTCTTTACCTGAAACTGAGGTTAATGTGCAGAGATATATTTTTTTATGAGACAAGTTCGTGCGTGGATGATGAATAAATGACAGGAAATTCAACTTATTTTCCCGCAAAAACAATTACAGAGTTACCGGTCCTCGCAAAAAGTTCTCTGAGATATTCTTCCGCATGCTTTAACACAATTTTTCGGTACGTCTGCATTGATATTATCAATGATTTTTTACTTATATATATATATCTAACTACAAAACATTTTCATATTATTAATTTATGTTGTAAACAAAAATATTTTTATCAGTATTCATTGAAGAGATGTATTTATATCAAACGATAAGGAATGTTATTTTGCATTCGTTTATGTGCGCATATTTATCATGTTAATAGATCGGTTACAAACCCAAAACTAATTTACATAATGGAAATCTAGGCGATAGCAATACATCTGAATGACCCCAAGGTCATCGCGATGTAAAAAATGAATTAGCCTGCTTTGTACATCAAGTACATCTTCCCTAGACTCAAAATCTTAAATGAAATGCTAGTAATACTTCTTTTATAGATTTTAGTTTTAACGATTCGTTCCGAATATAAATCGCATTGTTTACATGAAATCTTATCTCATATCTAAACCAGCTTGTTTCAACGTTCGACTCTAATCAAAATAAGTACGCATATATGTAGGTAAATATTAGCAGCTTGTAATAATAATTGCGTGCAAGGAAGTATTCAAATGCTTATTAAAGTAGCTTGCATCATAATAAATTTCGCATCATATGTAACATATCTCTATAGCAACTTTAAAATGCTAATGCTTATTCAACAGGTGGAACGGGGACCCAATTATTTGCCCCATTGAAACGCATTGAAAATCATAGTAAATAAATGGGGTGCTGTTCAATAAATAATTTTGATAGCCACCTTGGGATCTCTGTTTCATGTTAGGCATTGGTTTCGAAGTTTCTAAGTGCAATCTCAGTGCCTCATGACCGGCATTCCGTTGCAAAATATTGTTTTGATTGACAACAAGGTCAGTCAGTCTACTTCCGGGGAAGAATAAAGGCTAGAATTTAGGCAATTTACTCTATGCACTGACGCCAGATTTAAATAAATCAAAATTTTTACAGAAATTCAAACTAGAAAGCCTACCCTTTCAAATAAATCAATATTCAGTTACAGAACTTGTGTAATAATAAAACTACACCATTTTAAATAAAAGTTATAATTTATTTTTAAGAACTACATTCGTGGGTACTGGACTGGTTGCCGTAACTGGGATCCTATTCCTGTCAGACTTTAATTTTTGTTCCAGACTTAAAACTGCACTTTTTAAATAAAGATATACATCTCAGTAGTTATTGTGCAAAGTTTCAATAAATTTGATCCAACAGTTACAGAGTTATTGATCCTTATCTATAGCATCTCAAATACCAGAAAATTGGTCGGCTAAAATCATAAATTCATGAAGTAAATATGCTTAAAATCAGCAAAACTTTTTTATTTCAAAAGATATTTACATTCTGTAAATTGCACATGGTAGATAAATTCATTTTGTGTATGAAAATCTAGTAAAAAGTAAATTTTGATGAAAAAAAAAATATTTAAATTATTTTTTTAATTAAAAAAAAAAAAATCTTTCTTTTTTTCAATAAGAACTACATATGCAAAGGAGCTAAAAGTTAAAAACTTACAAGAAATGTATATTTATGAAGGCAAATAAGTTCCTTATCATATATGAAAAGCTGTGGTTTATATGGTAATGCAATTAGTGGTAATCCAATAAGATGTAAGCCCTACTGTACACACACGTGATATCTTAGACCATATTGTCCAGCACCTGTAAATCCCCCTAAGAGTGTCACTGTCAGCAATTAGTGGCAAACTTGTGTCATGGAAGCTGACAGCATCTTCGAATGATATAAATAATGCAGGAAAATATAGTTCTTCATAAATTATCAGTCAATGGTACTGTAAATTAACATGAAAGGTGAAAAGAAAAGACGTAAATCCTGCTTCAAACCGGGTAACATACCCCATAACAAGGGGATAAAATATGAAACACAGTCTTCAAACAGTAAGCTAAGTTCATCTAATATACAATGGAAGAGGCTAGATGCAGAGAAGTTCTCACTTGTAGCTAAAACCAGTCAAGACGGCACCTCCTACAGTTTACCAGATGTCGAGGGAAATCCTGGATCCACCAAGTTATTACGTCCACATCCAAAATCTTTGAAGATTCTGAAAAAAGAAGCTATATTTGAGTCTCACGATGAAAACCATGTTAAAGATGATACATATAGAGCTGTTAAAATGAAGAAAATTACTCTATTGATGAATGTAGTTTTTAATCTTCACACTTTACAAGACATTAAATGTGATAATCCGCACTTTGAACTGACAAAGGAAATTAAGTATGGATCTTGTGTAAAGTGCATATATAAATGTATAAGATGCAAGTTTACATCACCACGTGTTAATCTGTACGATGAAATTAAAACTTTGAATCCTGGACCTAACCCTGGAGAGTTAAACCGCATGTTTGCATCTGCCTTACAGGAGACTCCTATGGGAATAAAAAGAGGAAGATTTCTGATGGCTGCAGGATTAAATATACCACCACCCACTAAAAGAACACTGCAGAGGCATTCTAATGTTGTTGCTAATGAGATAAAAGAGTTAAATGACAATGATATGAAGAAAAAACTTGAAACTGTGAAAGAAGTTAACAGAATTCGTGGTGTAAAAGAGCCGTCACATATTCCTGTAGCAATCGACACGCGTTATAACAGTATGCATATAGTGAGCACAAAAAAACCTGGACAAAATGCTTCCCAGGCAATATCTTTGGCGTGTGAGCAAGTCACTGACCATAAGTTCATTGTTGCATCAGTTTTTCACAATAAACTTTGCTGGACAGGTGCTTGGCTTAAAGGGAAAGGACTTGATGTAACCTGTCCAGATGGACATGCTGGTACATGTACAGCCAATGTTAAGCCAACCACGCCTTTAAGTGAATATCTCATGGGTAAAGAAATTGGACTTCAGGTTGATAGGCAAAATGTGCTGATAAAGTATGCAGTTACAGATGGAGATGGACGTGGAGCAGAAGGTATAAATGATGCACTAAAAGTTTTACTCCCGTTGTGGAAAGTTGAACGCCAAGCTGACCCAATTCATCTAGGACGCTCACAGTTTCGGCAAAGTAATTCTGCAAATTTTAGTTTGAATATGTTTCCTGGTTCGACACGTGAAAAGAAAAAACAAGGACAGAAAGTTTTAAGTCAAGATTTGAAAGCCAGATGTAGCTTAGTGTTCAATGAAATGTGGAAAGAAAACTTTGGAAATGTGGAAAAAATTAAAAAATGCTTACCTAGAGTGCTTGATGCTACTGTGCGTTGTTATACTGGTGACTGCTCTAAATGTTCCACTAGTTCATACGTGTGTGGTGGTGGACACTCAAACTGTTGGTGGCTGAGATCCATGTACTTGGGTGCGAATAAGTTAACCAACCTGAATATGGATAACAATGACAAGTTAATAATGCAGGAACTTTTAAAAATGAAACTTAGCGAGGAAGCATTAATGAAAATGAAATTTAATTTCAACACTCAAAAATGTAAAGCTGTTAACAGAGCACTAAGTGTTTCCTTACCAAAGAATGTGAACTTTTCTAGAAATTTTGAAGGGAGGGCATCAGCAATAATTCACACTTTGAATAATGGTATAGCTAATTCCTGGAGACAAAAAGCAGAATGTATTGGTTTTAAAATATCACAAGGTTCATTAAAACACTTGGACCAGATGCAAAGGGAGTGTGAACGGAACAAAGTTTACCAAAATACTCCAGAAAGGAAAAAGAAAAATTTACAACAAACCGGACAGAAAATTAAGGATCATGTGGAAGAAAAGGAACAAAGTAAATGTACAGACAGATATCAAAAGGGACAACTTGATCCAAAACTTGATGCTGCATTTGTAAAAAGCATAAAGGACGATCATTCATATGGGAGAGTAATACATGTACCAGCAAAGAAGAATATACCTACCAGAAGCTGTACTTCAAAAGTTCCAAAGTCAAAGAAGATATAGCTGCATTCATCTACTGATGAAAAAGATAAAGACAAAATTAACTAACGGTCCTTTTAAAGGGAAAATTCGCGATTTTTTACTTTTCATCTTATTATGTTCATAATACCATAAAAAACATATTCACCAAGTTTTATCTGGATATGAACACTAATAAAGAAGAAAATTGGGAATTAATAATTTAATTTATTCGAACTTCCTGACTTATGTGACGTAGTTTAAGTCTTTTTGCATGCCGGGAGTGAACAAATCTCATTGTAAGTCTTGTTCGTTAATCATCTAATAACGCGATTTAAAGCGCATCGACGACTTTTGGTGTAGCTATTAACCAACTAATAATTAAGAAAGTAAAGTGATCAGCCGTGCAACTTTCAAAATTAATATGTACGATTTATATTTAAAGGATTTCTGATATGATTATAATAATAAAAGTAAATCATACAATAGAATATATTTTTATGATTTTTTTTTCCGATTGATATTTTGAACAAACATATATAACTGACATTGTTTTACAAATGCATGTTTGTATTCTTACCTGAAAGGCTTTCACTTCAGTCTAGCAAACATTTCCCACTAGCACTGTGTAAATACAATGTGTATTGTACTGTGACACTTAGTGACTACCTGTTGAATGCGTGGTTAAATTCAAGGTAATTAAAAGATTAGCATTCTGTAATTCTATTCTTTTGATCTTCACTCAGTGAATTTTAGCCAACACGGTTCATCGTTACAGGTGTGAACAACATTTCGTATGAATGATAAAAACATTAATTATTTGGGGAGGAATATGTTGGCAAAATACCTGAATCTTTTTATTTTGCGTAAGCTTAATTTTATAATAGATAGGTGAGTATTTTGTTGTAACATCGAAATTCTGTATTACTTTCAATTAAATAATTTTATAAATAAATATGGCCCACGAAAACGAGTGTATAAACCAAACACTGTACTTACTTTTTTCACAAATTATCATGGGTATTAACCTTGAATATTTCAATGTTTAGCAAAAATTATCGTTGTTACATGATTAATATAGCTTGGTCCGTCCACAGCGATCTACATTTACCTAATCGGGAATGCCCTTATTAAAATATTTAAAATCTCACAACGTATACATACTTTAGCTATTTGACCAACGATGTTTTAAAAAAATACGACTACGTTAGGTTACTGCTGGTTTTGGTCCTTTGTGGTTTATAGATATATCGTGGTTTCTAAACCGAGAAGATGTCAAAATGGTCGCATGCAGAGAATTGATACTCTAAATTTAAAATCGATGGTGATCTCTTATATAGCAGAATAAAACTTTAATATTTATGAATTTGTTCTTTTTTATACAGAATGAACATAATTTCAATTTTTCATTTTTTTGCGAAGTTTCCCTTTAAGGACCACTAAATCTTTAAAAAAGAGTTTAAAATTGTTGCACATTCAGTAAAAATTCTCTATATAAGCTATAGCCTTACCCCTTAAATATCTTCCAAAAATAAATCCAGGCGGCAATCAGGAAAATTGGCATGCCCCTGGCAAGAGTTTCGGTGTTTACAATAAATTCTGTTGTTGTTTATGTGATGCGGCTCTAAAGTAATGTGACATAAGTGGCTGGCGTCAAATGTTTCATTTAATATCAAATAATTATTAAAAACCATAAAACTGAATCTATGGGCTTTTTTCTTTTTCCAGGTCCCAGAAATAGGATCCCGGAAAGAAATAAGCCCATATTTTCCATCTTTTGTTGTCCCCTGATCCCAAATTAGACATTTGCTGTTTCTTGCCAGGTGGCCCTTTTCAAGTATTTTTTGCTGATATTTTTTGAAAAATCCCTCCATTTTAACTTACAAGTGTATGAATACATATTACCAACAAAATGACCTTACTGTGACCCCTTTGCAAACTTTAAATTGAAAAAAACTTTTTTTTAAATTTCATAAATTTAAATTTCATTTTAATTTAAAAAGTTTAATTCAAATTTAAAAAATAATTACATCATTGTTTTCCTTATTGAATTTTGAAGTCTCTAGCAAAATTTCATCCATGTAACTCCAAGAATAAGCTTACAAAAGCAGATTGAAGTGTTCAATATATGCCCTCTGACAGGAACGGGGACCCAATTATTTGCCCCATTGAAACGCATTGAAAATCATAGTAAATAAATGGGGTGCTGTTCAATAAATAATTTTGATAGCCACCTTGGGATCTCTGTTTCATGTTAGGCATTGGTTTCGAAGTTTCTAAGTGAAATCTCAGTGCCTCATGACCGGCATTCCGTTGCAAAATATTGTTTTGATTGACAACAGGGTCAGTCAGTCTACTTCCGGGGAAGAATAAAGGCTAGAATTTAGGCAATTTACTCTATGCACTGACGCCAGATTACATTTAAATAAATCAAACTTTTTACAGAAATTCAAACTAGAAAGCCTACCCTTTCAAATAAATCTATATTCAGTTACAGAACTTGTGTAATAATAACACTACACCATTTTAAATAAAAGTTATATTTTTTTTTTAAGAACTACATTCGTGGGTACTGGACTGGTTGCCGTAACTGGGATCCTATTCCAGGTCAATTAATAAGCTATTGCGCATGTATATGAAAGGTGGTCATAGAAAGAACAGATGTATTCCGAATAACATCCGGTGTTCCGAAAGACTACGGACATCGTCCAATATATACTGCGTAAACCCCTGAGCTGCGTAAACCCTCAGGGGTTTACGCAATAATTTGAAAAATTTACAAGCATAACATTCACATACATGTACACCAAAAAAATAACACTTTATTTTTGTAAAACGTTTCCACATTGAGCAGAAATATTAAAAGTTCATATGATCATATACCAAGATATTACTTTTAAATTATCTCTTACTGATAAAAATGATTTAAGGTGTAAATCTTATTCCGGGCAGGACCACAGCAATAACATTACAATATAATCGTCGTTAATAGATATAAGAAGATGTAGAATAAGTGCCAATGAGACAACTCTCCATCCAAGTCAAAATTTATAAAAGTAACGGTATGTTTCAGAATTCATATTTCGTCTTTCATCTAGACATTTAATAATAGTATCCCCTAAATATTATAGTACGGACAATTAGTACATTAATTAACCGTTATCTTTAATCTTAAATCTTCAAACAAAATAGAAGTACATTTTTGCGAAGCTCTGGATCCTTTCTAAATACGAAGTTTTATATCTGACTATTTCTATATGGGATCATGAGCAACTGATTCTCATACTACACTTGACATTAAATCAAAATTGTATAAAGATCATAGATTTATTAAATTTCTTAAGGAAAAAGTTTTTAAACTGAAATTAGTAAATAAGTATCTAATGTAGACCTTTTTAACTCTCAGTTATTTTTGTTATTATTGATATGAGACTTTAGAAATATTTTGCGTAACTCATGATTCGGTAAAAAGTTAAGCTTTAGTCATAATCTTGAATATACAGCTTTTTAGAAATTTAATGACTGGTGAATACCACCATTCAATATTAATAGTAATAATTTATATCGATAATACCACTATAAAAATAACGGGAATCCACCAAACGTACTTATCCAACACTGATAAGCTTGGGGACTTTTAATTTACACTAAAAATATACTTAATATACATCGGGAATTTGATTTTTCTATTGAAAAAAAAAAATAATAATAATAAAAATAAATAAATAAATAAATAAATATATTGCTATATATAAAATAAATTCATATTCATTTTCTTCCTGGCATGCTACAGAACTTATTCTGAACATACTGATATTCCAATGCAATAAATTTTAAAAGGTTTATATTGTATATGGTCGTAATAAAGTTGTAAAATGAAAAATATCTTTCAAATAATATTCCAGCTTTTAGTGATTTTTCGTATAATTTTTATTTACCTTGCGATTAACATGATGAAAGTTAAATGATGTAGATTTTAACCGAGTAAATATTTATAACTTTTGACACATACTCTCAATTTTTTCTCGAAAGAGAAATACCCATTTAATTAATAACCAGTTTAGCTAAATATAAAAACTTTAGTTTGTGATGGGTTTACCTCTAAAGACCATATATAGCATTTAGTACATCATTGGGATAAACCATAAAGTCCTTTTATATATAAATATAATTTGAATAATTACGAATTTCAATTAAATAGGCAACATTAAAAACCATAACATGATTTACGAACAATTCATGTATACATACAGGAAGTTAAACCGAGCCATAAAATTTAAAATACAATTTAATGGTAGCCTATCAAATGTCCACAATGACAGTCTGAATAATGTGTAAAGACAGCATCGACAGGAGAGCAGGCAATATAGACCCCAATCGTATGAAATAAAGATCATAAACGTTTTGGCTGGCAATACTGACCCAAAACAAGATACGGTTGTAATTATATGAAATAAAGATAATAAACGTTTTGGCAGGCAATACTGACCCCAAAACAAGCATAGCATTTTATTACTAAAGATCATATACTAGTAAACGTTTTGGCAGGCAATGCTGACCCAAAACAAGACATTTGTAATTATATGAAAATAAAGATCATAAAACGTTTTGGCAGGCAATGCTGACCCAAAACAGAAGCATAGCATTTTATTACTAAAAATCATATAAACCGTTTTGGCAGGCAATGCTGACCCAAAACAAAATAGTTGTAGTTGTATGAAATAAAGAGCATTAACGTTTTGGCAGGCAATACTGACCCAAAGCAGAAGCATAGCATTTTGTTTGCTAAAGATCATATACTAGTAAACGTTTTGTCAGGCAATGCTGACCCAAAACAAGACAGTTGTAATTGTATGAAATAAAGATCATAAAACGTTTTGACAGGCAATGCTGACCCAAAACAAGATAGTTGTAAATGTATGAAATAAAGATCATAAACGTTTTGTCAGGCAATACAGACCCGAAACAGCTGAAGCATAAAGTTATGTTACTAAGTTAATTCTTTTTAGCTGTAAAATTCCATAAACGCATTTGACTTCAATCCTTGAATCACGGATAGGACAATTC